CTTGGAGAAGTTTGCTTCGTCTTTGTCGTCTTTATGTTTTCTTGGACATTTAGAATACGAGTGGTGCGTATCCTTACAGCTCTTGCATCTAAAGAAACAATTTTTAGTTTCGTGGTTCGATTTTTTACAAATACGGCAACCCGAAAAAGAATTTTCGGATTGATGTTCTTTTCCTCCTTTAAAGAATTTTCCATGTATTTTTCCTTTGTTGTTGAAGCCGCCTCTTTCACCTTCCCATCTTGAACTTTTTTTGTCCGAAATATGAAGTTTCGACTGAAAAGCTTGATCCACGGGCTGATTTGATGACCTATTCAACCTTTCTTCATGAACTTGAAGAGAAGTCATCAATTCATTAAAGGTATAGGTGGAAAGATTTTCAGATTCTTCTATGGCCGCAACAACATGATCGAACTTCGCCAGAAGACTTCTTAGAATTTTTTGAACAATTTTACGTTCTTCAATAACGTCACCAAGGCTTCGAATTTGGTTGACGATTTCAGCAACTTTGGAAAGAAAGGATTGCATTCCATCGCCTTCTTTCATTGCCATGTTATCGAAATCTCTCCAAAGAGATTGGAGTTTTAAAAAAGTAACTTTCTCATCTCCTTTAAACCTTTGTTGCAAAATATCCCAAGATTCTTTTGCCTTTTTTACTCAAAATATTCTTGGAAATATGGTTTTACTCACGCCTTGTTGAAGATATCTCAAGGCATTTGCATCTCTCCGAATATTCTTCTTGTAAAGCTTTTGTTGTGCTTCACTCCATGATTCACCTGTAGCTTCTTTTGGTGGCTCGGTGTATGTATTCTCCACGATATCCCAAAGATCCAAAGAGATATACAAAGTTTGCATTCGACTACTCCGATGGTCGTAGTGTTATCCGTCGAAGATGGGTACTTGATTGGGGGTAAGTGCAAACATGGTGAAAATATATTTTGGTAATTGAAAGAGGTTTGGATCGTCGAATAAGGGTGGAGAGACCAGCCAAGAATGCTGGCTCTGATCCAAATTTGTTGGGGGTTTTAATATGCAGAAGTGTGGTGTTAAGAAAGAACACAAAAAATTGGTAGAGATTTTTATTAAGTGAAGAACAATGAAATTACTTAAGAACAAGAGAGGTTTTTAGTGCTGGAAATTCTTAGTTTTTAGTTGTTATTTCTTTCTTACTTGCTTAGAAATCTGATCTTGAGTAACATTTATAGGGTATAAATGAATACAAAGAGACACTCCATTCCAAATCCCAAATTCTTAGAAAATGTAAAAGACTTGACAAATTACAAGAAACCTTCTTGACTTCTAGAAGTGAAGTTTTTCATCTTTAAAAGATGTTCCAACTTCTTTATTGAAAATATGAATTACCATTTTTAACACTTAACACACCACAGAATATTCATGAATGCATGGTATAACACACCACATTAATCATGTTAAGTCCTAATAAGCACATAAACATTTACATCAACAAATCTTAATACATAGATAGCATCATAAGTCAATCAACACCTAACATGCAAAACATAGTATAGTAACAAATCTCACGATATCATATTTCAGTTATTCATCAACCATTTAGTTCAGAGAGTTGGAATATACCAAAATCTCTTCTTATCACATAGTAAAATGAAGATTTCATACAGAGATTAATACAAATTATTACACCACTAAAAAATAATACGCATCACGCGAAAAGGAAGCAGTGATTTAGTCGATATACCCTGCACAGATTCTTCATGTATTGCCCTTGTGAATATATCTCTAAATTACATAAATAGAGAAAATGGTTAAATACATTGTGCAAGTGAGATACAGTGAAAATGGCGGTTAAATACATCAAACGCACAATCAATTTCGGGATCGAATTTAAGAAGAACATACATACATTCCTACACTAATTAAAAAACACAACTAAACCATATGACTTTTTTTTTTTCTTTCGAAAATCAATACGCACAGAATGCAGTTTAGCTCGAGAGAGTACTGAAGATAGAAGGATTATTACCTATGGTTGAAGATAATCGAGAAGCAATCGTCGTCTCGCGTGCAGTTTTTTGGATCTCATTCAAATCCCTGCCGTAAACCCTAACAGAATTCGTGAATAGCTCGAAATTATTTTCGCAGAGAATTTTGTGTTTTGGATTTTTGTTTTTCTAATAATAGTTTTCGTAGAGATGAATTTAGGATGCCAATTTAACTCGTCCGTCTATTGCAAATATAACATTATCTAATACTATTTCTTTTAAAATAAAAGGGTAAATTACAACTACCCCTGAGGTATGGTCAATTTACAACAAAACCCTTCTTCTTTGGATAATTACATTATCAACTATGATTTTTCCTTACACTCACACTCTTATGGTGTCAAATTCAACATAATCATCTACATTTCATTGAATGTGCTCTAGTTTGTAGTCGTTTTTTTTGTAAACGTACAGATTCTGATGCACCACAATCTGATATATACAAGCCGAAAAATGCATATAATGATCATCTTGTTTCAAAATGTGGAGTTCGAATATGATAAAGCGGGCACAAATGTGATAATATTCCATATAGTTCCACTAAATTTGAAACCGCAAGGGTGAACGTGTAAGAAGATTTATAGTTGAGGGGATAATTGTAATTACTCAAACAATAAGGGATTTTTCGTAATTTGATCAAATCTCAGGGATGATTGTAATTTACCCATAATAAAAAAAGCAGCTACCCGCACGACTAGTTCCATTAAGGGTGATTGCAAACGCTTTTGCAAACAGCTATGACCGTTTCCTGCCTTATAATCTATATTTTTTGCGCTTGTTACACCAACTTCTACTTTTGCTTCTCTAAGACTAAGTTATAATCTCAAAAGCAAGCTTGATCCAACTTTTTCGGTTGATGGCATTTCTGTAAATAATAATAAGTTGTATTGTATACTTTGATTCATTTTTATCCTTTTAATTAACTTAATTTATACCCGCGTTTACCATGTATTCACATCAAAACTATGTCACATAAAACACATCTACTATGTTTCAACAGGAAGTTCACCATCACAATCACAATTAAAGTATTCAGGCTATGATATTTGAATATATAAATTAAAGTATTCTCGAACAATTATAAACTATTTGGAAGCAATCCATGATCGTATAGAAAATATAATGTAAAGAACTTGCATATATATATATATATATATATATATATATATATTTACGTTGAAAAAAATAACAGAACATTGATTATATATGAATTAATTATATATTTGTTTGTATATTTATCAGGGTAATTGGGTATTTAGGGCGTTTATAAAAAAAAAGTTTAAATTTTATGTTCGTATGCAAACACTACAATTTTTATATTAGGGTAAATTCCACTTTCATTTATGTACTTTGACTTGATATTATGTTATTCCTTTTTACTCTCAATAGTAGGGGTGCAAGTTGGAACGGATTTTCCAATTTCCGCCGGTTCCGATCCGAAAATTTCCGATTTTGGAACAACTTTTTTCATTCCGACTTCCGAAATTCCGATTTCCGAATTTTTCCGATTTTTTTGGATTGGAATTGGAATTATATGAAATAAATTTGGAATTTCCGATTCCGAAAAATACACCTATAAATAGTATATATTATATAATACTTATTTCCCGAAAAATACACCTATAAGTTTTGTTTTAGGATCTTGACGTAATGTATTGTTGTTAGAAATTTTATTGGATATTATGATGCGTTTATTTTTTTTATTTTTTTTAACTGAAATTTAGTAGTTATTAGTTTTACTTTTATCGACGTGGATGCTCTTATTTTCGAAAAATTATGAACATTTTAGAAAATTTCGGCTAAGTTTTGAAATTTTAAAGCTTATGTGATTTCCGATTTTTTTCCGAAATTCCGAAATTTCCGAGTCTTTTGGAATTGGAATGAATTTTTAAATTTCGAAAATTTTGGAATTGGAATTGGAATTGATTTTGTACTTCCGAAAATTTTTGGAAATTTTCCGAAAATGCTAATTCCGATCCGATCCATCCGACTTTCACCCCTACTCAATAGCATCGATTTATCTCCATATATTCTGGATCGGTATCACTTTACCCCCTTCTACTCTCAATAGCATCGATTTGCCCCCTTGTATTCTGGATCGATATCACTTTACCCTCTTCTACTCTCAATTGCATCGATTTGTCCCCTTGTACTATAACTTGATATCACTTTACCCCATTCTACTCTCAATTGCATCGATTCACCCCCATATACTTGAAAAATTGTCTCAATGTGGTCGTCGCCATTAGTTTTCAGACATTTGGCTTTAACACCGTTTTATCTAAGTCTGAAAATTATTAAAAAGTCACCCCTCCCAGTTTAAATAATTATCAAAAAAAATTAAAAAAATAAATAAATCAAGACAACGAGAAAACATAGTCCACCATGCCAGCCACAATTTATTTTTAATTTTATTAATAATTATTAAAACTGGGAGGGGGCTTTTTTATAATTTTCAAACTTAGATCAAACGGTATAAAGGTCAAAGGTGTGAAAACTAACGGCGAAGGCCACATTGTGACAATTTTTCAAGTACATGGGGCGCAAATCGATGCAATTGAGAGTAGAAGGGGGTAAAGTGATATCGGGCCAATGTACAAGGGGCAAATCGATGCAATTGAGAGTAAAATGTGGTAAAGTGATATCGAGTCAAAGTATGAGGGGGAAATTGGAACTTACCCTTTAAATTAACTGTTTAAAGTTGATTTTATAGATCTTTTGTAAACACCCAAAATTTTACAAATAAGTGTTTTTTTAGAGTTTAACTCATAGTCACCAACTTCTGACAAACTAAGACTTAGTTGGTTTATTATATAACAGTTGTGCTCGAGAGGGATTTGTTATTTTTGTTATTTACTATTTACTTTATTTTACGAAAATTCAAATCCTCAATAATATTGTCGAAAAGAGCAACGAGAAGTGACAAAGATACTGAAAAAGAGCCATGTGAAGCCGAAGAAAATTTGGCATCATCTGAGACAGATGAATCCGGATACGGCTGCGGCCTTGAGAGATGTGTACAATGAATCACAGAAAATTAGACGAGAGGAAATGAAAGGAAAAACAGTTATACAACATCTGTGGCACGAACTAAGTGAGAGTGGATACAGCAAATGGCATCGAACAAATCCTGCTGGTGATGCAGTGCAAGACGTTATGTTTGCGCACCCTGATTCAATAAAGCTTTTGCAGTTATTTCCATACGTCATCCTGATGGATTGCACGTACAAGACTAACAGGTAATAATTATTTAAATGTGAATTACATTTATTATATTATATTATATATATATATATATATATATATATATATATATATATAAAAGAGTTGACTAAATTATAATTACCTTCATGTAGATATGAAATGCCTCTTTTGGAGATCATTGGGGTTACTCCCGTGGGAATGAACTTCACTATTGCCGTTGCTTTTATGTCACGTGAAGATGAGGACACTTATGCATGGACATTGCGATGTTTGCGAGACATATTACCAATCGGGATAGAACTAGAAGTGATACTGACAGATCGTGAGTTGGGCCTACTGAAAGCATTGTCAAACGTGTTTCCACATTCGCATCACATGTTATGTTTATATCACATAAACAGAAACGTTGAGGCAAACGCGTCAAAATTCTTGGGTAACACCAAGTTGGGTGTACTGTTCCGGAGGACGGTGTGGGCAAAGTTAGTCGAATCTGAGACTGAGAAAGAATACGAATGCAACTATAGAGAGATAGTTAGTTTGTACGGGCAATATCCGAAGTTGATAACTTACATCAATGAAACGTGGTTGATTTATAAGGAGAGATTTGTTAAGTGTTGGACCAACAATATCGTTCATTTCGGTAACACGACGACTAACAGGTATATAAATTGATTTTACTATAAACTCGTTACGTACAATCTTTTATACACATGTTACATTTATTCATTATTTGAGTATTTTCTCGAAACAGGGTAGAGAGTGCACATCGTGCATCGAACCGTTGGATCCAAACATCGACTGGAGCTATGGATACAGTTCAAAATGCACTAGATGCGCAAGTTGACCTTCAAATTAATGAATTGAAGGTGGAAAATGAAAGCAGTAGAACAGTCAGGATGTACAGTACTTCACTGTCGTGCTTCGGTGCTTTGGTATGTAACGTATCACACAAAGCACTGGACATGTTGGATAAAGAGTACGAAAAGTTGGAAAAGAATCCAGATAGTTGCAACTGTTACCTAAGCCGAACCCACGGACTCCCGTGTGCGTGTATGATTGCAGTTAAAATTGTTGAGGGAGATACTTTTTATCCGCAACAGTTACATCCATTCTGGAGAACGTTGGTTGTCAAGCCGAAGTCGGATCCATGGGAGGACGAGGAGGAACCGTTTGATCGCACAGTTGCAATTAAGAAAGTTCTTCTCGATGAGTTCGAGAAGTTATCAAACAAAGATTACATGTCCCTAAAAAATGCGGCCGACTATTTACGGGACCTAAATAATCCTTCTTCAACGCATTTACAAGAGCCGTCATTTGTGAAGGCCAAGGGACAACCTAAGAATAACTCGATGAAGAGGAACTTGTCCGGACATGAGCACATGATGAATCGGAAATCCGAAATTAAATCTTCTTCGGGCTCTAAGGGTCGCAAAACCCCGAGCGAAAGGAAGCCAGAGTCAAAATTTGAAGCTGGTACGCCAGAGTCAAAGGTTAAAGGTCGTCCTCGCGGACGTACTAAATCGACGGAAGAATCAGTTGTTACTGCCAGGGACCGGGTCAATTTCTTTTCCTTCATTCCTCCGTTTCTCGCACAGTCCGTAGCCTCATATGTTAATGTGAGGGCCGATGGAAATTGTGGCTACCGGTGCATAGCCGAAGTTGTTTACGGCAGTCAAGAGAGATAGCCACAAGTCAGAACTGACTTGGTTGAGGAGTTTATGGAGCGTTACAATCTATATGCTACTATTTTTGGTGGGGATGAAGGGGGTCGAAATACAGTCGATGATTATATCTTGACATGCAGTCATGAGAGGGGACCGGCGCCACAGACGAAATGGATGTCAACAGATATGGGGTTGGCGATCGCTACAAGATACAACGCAATGGTATTAATATTCACTGAACGGGGTAGCATCACTTACCTACCACTAGTTGGGAACCCCGCGTTATCACGTATTATTCCTATGTCGCTACATAACGATCATTTTATGATCATACGAGTACCGGTTTCATGCCCTCTTCCTCGTCTCCATCCTCAGTGGAGGTATTTTGCAGCTCCCAATTACCTCTACGAGATTTTTACGCGAATCAACTTGCTTTTTGGACGACGTTGACTTCTAGGCATATGTAGTATTGTATTATTGTAATTTTGTTTACGTTGTTATCGGACTTACTTATTTAGTTATTTGTACGGATTATAATTATGTTGTATCGAACGAAATTATATTTTAATTTGTATTATTAACGAATAAAAGAAAATATATATATATATATATATATATATATATATATAGTGTTGCTCGTGCGTTTTCACACGAACAGAGGTGTTATGCTCGTGTGAAATCACACGTGCAAAATGCCTCTGTGCGTGTGAAACGCACGAACATATTAATTTTTTAATTTTTATTTTTTATTTTTTTTTTCAATTTTTTTTAAAAACAAAAATTAAAAAAAAATAAAAAAAAAATGACGTGGAAAAGTACTCGTGCGTTAACACACGAACAGGGACATTGTACTCGTGTGTTTTCACACGAGCAGAACACCCCTGTTCGTGTGAAACGCACGAGCAACACAATTTTTTTTTTTATCTTTTTTGATTGTTTTTTTTTTCTTTATTCGTAATATACAAATAAATATATTTTTCGTTCGATACAACATAATTATAATCCGTACAAATAACTAAATAAGTAAGTCCGATAACAACGTAATTAAAATACGGGCAAATAAGAAAAATCCGCAAATCCAAAATGAAACATCCGTACAAAGAACTAAATCCGAAAACAAACAACAAATCACAACACACGAAAACTAAATCCGGATACTTACTACAGATCACAACACACGATACCAATAGTCAGGTGCAACCACCCCTCGACCCCCGACCCCGAGTCCTCGGACCTCCCCCGCGACCCCTCCTAAGAGACGCAAATAGTGGGCATGTGGCGTCAACAAGTCCCTCAACTGCGGCTGAATGCTCAGGAATGCCTCTGCTGCGTCGTCACCAGTCAAACCGAACACGATCGGAACTAGGAGCCGAGCTATGTCGTTGGCGAACGGCTGGTCTGGCGGCACCGCAGCAACAACCTGTTCTGCAGGCGGAACTCTATCAGGGTTGCTAATGAACTGGTGCGTCCGCTCGATGTACCACTTCATGTACTCCTCGGCAACTTTTTCCGGCGGCCAGGCTTCAGGGTATTGCGACAGGTCAATGAAGTTGGCGTACTCGTTCTGCCACAAGCCGCCAGGAGCGTGGAAAGTGACTTTGTATCCCGCGCCAAACAAGCCGCGGTTATGTGGCAAGTTCGATTCAATTATCGGGAAAGAAATAGTCTGGACTCTTCCAAACTGCCGCAACGCTCGGTCGGGCATGTACGGCTCCACTATATCCATGAACTGTATCGTGCCGTAATACATGCTCCGAGGATGTAAGTAATGTGCACCGGTACCATACGGGGTCCAACAAACGTAAGCATATTTTAAACTAATTAGAAAAATCCGTAACTCTACTATAGAAATAATTAGAAAAATTATTACTCACATCTCTTTCGGTCATGGCGTCGAGTATTTTCCGGTATTCCTGCAGCGTGGTTTTATTGCCTCCACCATGGGCCCACCTTCTGCATCGAGGCTCAAACTCGGCATATAAACGGGAAAGACGTGGTCGAAAGCAGGGGAAATGCTCAAAGATCCAGCACTGCCAACAAAAACCAATGAATAAATAAATAAAATAGAAGTTTAAATAAATAAATAATTACTAATAAAGCTACACGTACCAGAAGGAGAATAACACATCCACACAGACTGTTCATCCCAGCGCGGGTGGCAATACCCAATTGGCGGTACATGTTTGCTAAGCATGCCGAAGCCCACGAATAATTGCCGACATTATCGAGATCGTTGGTAAAATGGATCCACCACGACTTCATGTTACACGCTGTTTTGTCTACAAACAAAACAGACCCAAGTAGAAACATCAAGTAGCCCTTCATCTTCTTCTCGTCTGTGGCGGAGGGAAGGGTCAACTGATCTCTCACCTTAACCCAACCAACTCCCTTGTTTCGAAACATGTCATTGGTGTCCATCTGACCGACACCCAATACAGATGCAAGACTCTGTGAGCACTCTTCTACCGGGCGAATTTCAGACACTGGCGGTCCGTCCAACCGCAACGCCAGGATGAAAGCGACATCGTGGAGCGTGATCGTCATCTCGCCCCATGGCATGTGAAAACTGTTCATCTCCGGCGGCCACCTCTCCACGAAAGCTAGCATGAGGTTCTTGTTCATCCTCTTCAGAAAACAGTCTCGTAAGTGGTAAAGACCTGTTGCCTCCAGTCTCGCAATCATCGTGTTATTCTGTGGGCCGCGGTAGTCCTCGAGTGCTTTGGTCCTCGACTCGCACCGTGTAGTTTCACGGCGCTCCTGAAAAATATTGCATGTATTGTTAGCTAAACAAAATGAATAATATAAGAATTATGTAAAGCACGTGTTGACAGAAAACTTACATATCCTTCCCAAATGTACATCGCTATATGCGACTTGAACCATCGCATAAACTCTAAATTTTGTGGCCCTCCCTCGCACGGACCCTCCAAGTACGCCGGACCAGGCAGCTGCGGAAAGGGTAAGGCACGACCACCTCTACGATCCTGATATACATCTGCTGGTTCATCATCTTCCTCCATCTCCTCGTCAGTATCCATATTATCGGGATTGTTGTTGTGGTCATCATCATCGTCGTCGGCATGTGGCAATGTACTACGAGCTAGCTGGAGATCGCGTGTAGGTCCACAGGGTGCGGCTCCAGCTGCAACAGCTTCTCGTCTCAGTCTCTCTTCTTCCCGCTGTAACGCTGCTTCTCGAGCTAACTGATTTCTTATACGGGCGGAAGCAAGGACATCTCGGTCTCCAATGCGATCCGGATCTTCCGGATTGTCACCCTTCCCGCTCAAGGCTTTCATTAAGCTCTTGCCAGCTTTACCGGCAACTTGACTCATAAGACTTTTCCTCCGGCCTCCTGCCATCTACATTTTAAATAAGCACTTTATTAATATTTCATATAATAAAAAAAAACATTTAAATAATGAAATGAAAAAAAAAAATTAATTGTTCTGCTCGCGCAAAAACATGCGAGCATTTCAACAGTGCTCGTGTGAAATCAGGCGTCGAAAGGAACAGGTG